CAAAAATGGTCTCAAAGAAAGACTATTCTGAATCACAACCTAAGGCTGGTCTGATTAGACTGGGTCTGATTATACATGTACATGAAGAGTGTTAATTTATGATACAGGTCTTCTCAAGTTCACTTTGCAGGAAGTTTTCGTAAGGAATTTCAGATTTGACTTTTAAATACTTGTTAATTAACTGGACTGTGTAGTCATTCATAGTTCATCTATGATTTTCAACCTGATGGGATTTTTAATATTGAGGTTTGTGTGTGTGTGTGTCTTAAATCTCATTCTTTGCAATAAATAGAGGAAGACTTTGTAAGATTTGAAGGATAAAGTGATAAAGCAACACAAAGATTTTGAAAGAAACTAATGAATTTTCTGTTTTTTGTTTTTTCCCCAGGGATGCCCCAGCATGCTCTCCTCCCTCTGGCTGAAGCTCTGTCATTATAAACTGGGAAGAACCTGTCCACACCCATTAGAAGGAATGGGGGAAAAAAGTTTAGAAACAGTGCTCAGTCAGTAGAAATTACTAAAGCACATTTTAGCATAAGGTGAACATTTATTTAGACGATATTTATTTCTGAAGAAGGAAGGGCTTGGGCCTGAAAATAAGCAGTTCTCTGAAGTACTAGGATTAGGGCTCTTTCTCCCGGGAATTTCAGTCTCGGACTTGATTCCTGCCTCTTGAAGCCTGTTCTTTACATAGTTTACAAGGAATGCCAGCAGTGTGCTAGGAGCTATGGGTCTGAGGCCAGTGCTAAAGCGTTTTGTGGAGAAATTCTAGGGGGAAGGTATTGCTGGGTCAAAGGAGATGTTAAGAGTTTTTCCAGATCTGGTGCCTGCCTTTGCCGCCAAGGACATCTGAGGGTAGCAAGAGTAACTTCAGTCTTTATTTAGTGGGATTGGTTTGTTTTTTCAGAACTTTAATCTTATTAGTAAACTTTTCCGTACAAGACTGTCCAATTCTTGCCTATGAAAAGCATCAATAGTTCTTTGAAGTCACATGCTTCTGACTTCTAAACCCAATTTCCAATTTTCCTCTGTCCAACCTGTTCTCCCTGTTTCATTCCTCTTGCTTCACAATGGTGCAATAAAACTGTATTCCCAATTGTAGATATAAGAGAGCAGCAGTGTAAGGCAGGGAGGCATTTCCATAGTCACCCCAGGGGCCACTGAGCAAGACTCTGATCTGCGTATGGAGTGGCCTTGGGGAGAGCTGGTATCTTATCTTTCCATCATCATCACTATGTGATTCAGAACATGACTGTTCTCTTCCATAAGCTTAAATTTTCTTGTCTTAGGAATGGAAAGAAGTATTACCTTGCAGCCATTAAGTGGTACAGAGGAAGGTGTTAAATAAAAGCAGTTGGAATAATTTGGAATCTAAGGAATAATGCTGAAATCTGTACTGGTGAAGGCAAATTAGATATTAACTTGAATTCACATGTCCAGCTGACCTAGTACCACAGTTTGTTTAACTATTCACCTACTGAGGGACATTTTGGTTGCTTCCGGGTTTTTGCTATTATAGATAAGGCCACCATGGACAATTGTATACAGCTTTATATGGATAGAAATTTTCATTTATTTGAGATAAATGCCCAGGAATGCAACTAATGGGTTGTATAGTGAGTGTGTGTTTAGTTTTTTTAAGAAAATGACAGCATGTAGTTGGATCATGTTTTCAATCCTCTCTGCCAGGGGAGTGGTAGAAATCCAGGTTTCCTACTTGTCTGCAGTCAATATCCCTGCAGGTGGTGGAGAAGGCACCTCATTTCTGCTTGGATAGTGGGAGTTCTGGCTCCTGCTGGACCTCCACTGACACCACCCCGATGGGAGTGGGAGGAGGCCTCCTATTGCTCCCCGTGCAACCTCCACTGACCCCCGGATGGTGGAGGTGGGAGGCTCATCACCACTGGAAAGTGGTGGAAGTCCTGGCTTCTCACGGGAGTTCTCTGACACCACCCTGATGGTGGGGCTGGGGGGCACCTCATTACAGCCAGGCACAAATGGAAGTTGAGGCTCCCCATTCTGCCTTTGCTGCCAGAATTGGGGTGGGGCTGTAGTGTTTTCTGTGGTGTTTGGTTGGAGTAGGCCACCCCTTTCTTGATCCTTTAGCTAGATGGCCAGCTTTCTTGGTGTTTTCCCCTTTTCCTTTCTGTCTGTGCCATTGGTGCTTCAGGATTGCTGGCTTCTCCAGCACCCAGTCCAGGATGAATGAAGCAAAAAGCAAACCCAGACAAATAACTACTATGTCTTTCCTTGGATCTCGAGGCTCCTAGCTAATCTTTCTTCTCTCCACTTTCAGAGTTTTCTTATGTTGTTGTATATACAACCCCCAGAGTTTTTAGCACTTAGCAAGAAGGGTAGGGAGAACTGAGGCTCTTTGATCTTGGCCCAGAATCAGAAGTCTGACAAGGCCTTTTATTCTTTTTCCTTTTGGGGGGGAGGGGCGTAATAGGGTTTTTTATTTATTTATTTGTTATTTAATGGAGGTACCTAGGATTGAACCCAGGACCTCATCCATGATAAGCATGTGCTCTACCACTGAGCTATATCCTTCCCCTGCCAAGGCCTTTTAAATGGCCATTTCTCCTCTAAGAACATAAATCCGATCATGTCTCAGCCTTTCTTGAAAAATTCCTTTTCATAATACCCAACTGTCCAAAGGACAAAATCCCAACCCCTTAACCTTGACTTTTATGCCTCCTTACCACGGGTAACAACAGTCACATCTGCAGCTCCTCACTGGAGTGTATACTCTTCAGCTACACAGAATTTTTTGCACCATTTCTTAAATACACCATGCTTTGTCATGCTTCGTTTTGCACATGCTGATCTGCGTGCACTCTGCTTGGCTTACCTGTCTCCTCCTCTCTACTTGGCATGTGCCTAGCTATACTTCACATCTGCTCCTTGTAGTACCTACTGCGAAGACTTTCAAGACTCTTGCAGAGTTCTTTGATCCTTCCTCGGGGCCACCATAGCAGTATGAACCTCTCCCTATAAGCTGTGTCTGGTTGGAGTGACTCTCTTCTACTAGGGCTCTCTGAGGTGGAATTACGTCTCTCTACATCTCTGTCCCATTCAGCTGTGTAAGATCAGGGGCTGTGCCTGTCTTCATCATCAATGTATCCTCAGTGCCTAGCACTGTGCCTGGCACCTAGGTGGCACTCAACAAGTGTTGGTTAAATGAATAAATGAATAAATGAATGAACCGTTACTTTTAGATACTAGAGCAACCAGAAATTGTCAGACTACCTGAGGCTGCCTCCTTTTTATCATTACTACATGTTCCTTTTTATTTTTCCCCCAGAACAAGCTGACTTTGGGAGACCATAATAATCGAACCATGTCCTCAATCTGCTTCACCCGTCCTGAGGACTGCCTCTTTCAGGTTGTCTTTATGTATATCTTTATATAAACCAGGGGCGACACTTGTTGTGATGTCTAGAAGGGCCTACACAGATAACTGGCTACCCAAAAAGTCCCATGAATGGTCAGTGAAACTTGCTAGCAGTAGAACTGGTATTTGATGGGCAAAAAGGCCCTTAACTGCCAGCTCCTGTTTTATGAGTGCCTGATACCTCAGCCATAGTAAGCATTTTTGACAAATTATAGGGCTCCCCACCATAAGAACTAAGGATCTTTTCCTTTAGTGTCTGACTCAATAGCTCATCCCTTCCCTGCTTATTTCCTTCAAATACTGCTGTCCACACCCTGCAGGGCTTGAGGAGGTGGTGCGTGAGGGGAGCCAGATAACAGGAGGGTGAGTCTGGTCTGGAGAGCTTGTGTACGTGAATGAAAGAAAGATCCCTCTTTGCCGGTCCCCCGAGCAGCAGGAAGCAAGACTATCAGCTCGCCCACAGGAGCAAGCAAAGAATATAGGTAGGGGTGTCCCTGCGGCCATCCTGGCCCCTGAACAGGATATATGGCTGAATGCACAGGTAACCAGGACAAGGCAAAGACTGTTTCAGCGCTGGCCCTGCTCCCAGCCACTGGTTGGCACGGCATGAATAATAGCTGTACCACCACTAGGGCATATTCTTAATGCCTCTCTGAGAGTTCCAGTCCCAGACAAGGATGGTCCCCGAGGGGCACAAACACGTCTTCTCCAGAGGGGGACGCAAGAAGAGTGGTAATGAGTCTTATTCCTTGGCTTCTGTCTGTCTGAAATGGAAAGATAGATGCTCCACACTACTGAAGTCTGGATAGCACCTCTGCAGCCCCAGAGATGGGCTCTATTCCCTTGGTTATGTCCACAACCTCTTCCCGGGCTCCCGTGGAGCATCAAGTAACTTCAGCTGCCTCTGCGGCTCATTTGTTTTCTAGCTTTATCCTTCCCTCTAGGCCTTTGGAAACAAGTAGCTGTCTTCCTGGTAATATCAGCTCATTATTCCAGTTTATTTTCCACCCTTAATCTGCCTTCTTTCAGGTCGAGTATCTTTTGGGTGTTACTGACCCCAAAGCTGTCCATCATACATTCTGGGACAGCAGGTGTCTCCTGGGACTGTCCCAAGCAAACCAGGATGTGTGGTCACCTTTCCCGGATGGTTAATGCCCACTGCTGCCTGTCAGATTGGAGTGAATGTGCGTCTAGGCACAGCATGTGGTGTGAGTAAAGACAGGGCTCGCCGCTGTCAGCTGTGCTCTTCCTCTGGCCTTTCAGCTCTCCATTCCTTACACACTCTAGCCAGGCTCCTTCCTCCTCTCCTCTCTCTCCTTTCCTTTCTGTTCCTTTCCTTCCTGCCCTCTGCTTGTTGCTGTCTTCATTTCAGCTATTGGACCCCTGCCCCCCTTGACTGCCTGGCATTAACGGAGGGTTTTACAATTCTGTTTACCTCTTTTTGCTTGATTCCGGGGCTGGCAGCGACCAAGTTCACTCTCCTGGGTCTGAAGCTGTTTGGTGTAGTTGTTGCTGCACTTCTCTGACCTTGAACTTCAGGCCTAGGCACTCCTAGGATTGAGGGGCAGGGTGGGGTTAGGGCTGAAACCTATTTTTACAGACACATTCCTAGTTTATCTTCTATTAACGATTTTATTCTCCAGGCAAATGCTTCCCTCTCCACCCCTCTATAAGTCACCCTTGGGTTCATATTCAAAGATCTCACAATAACTGCTTTTTACAGGTGGAAACATATCCTAGAAATTTCCAGGCTAGAGGCCTGAAGGGCACTTTTAGGAGCACGGAATTCTGTGCCGCAGATTGGCTCTTCACTGCTGCTTGGCGGCTTCCTTCCAGTAGGGAGAGCGCATTAGCTATAGGGCTGTCTCGGCGAGGGTGGAATGGGGGCGCAGTCTCTCTGTGAGTCCAGAGTGGTAGGTAGGGCCCCGTTTGGCTCAATGCAGAGTCCGGAGTCTGAGTGGGACAGAAGGTCCCTGTTGGGTGCCTAGGAAGTTACATTTGGGGCCAATTTGTATCTCCCTGAAACACCTGCGCTCCGAGGGGGCGCCTGTACTCAGACCAGCATCTTGTAGAGGACCACTGGGTGTCAGTCCTCGCCCTCCTGCGTACCTCAGTTTCCTAGGCTGTGCCAGGGCCACTGCTAATCAGGAGAGGAGGGCGCTGCACGAGCAGCTGCGGGCAGACGGAAGGTCACACAGATTACGTCTGGGATCGCGGCTTTCGGTTCCCCGGAGGGAAGTGACCCGGAAAGTGCAGGCCCGAAGATGGAGCCTCCAGAAACTCGGAGGGCCGTGGGTCCCTAGCCCAGAGGCAAAGCTCGAGAAAACTCCGGTGCTAGCAGGCGGCGGCGGAGGATGGGCATTCAGTCGGTTTGCGCCGGAGGGCGGTCAGGTGCAAGGGGGCGGGGGCTAAAGGCCACGGGTTGCGGGGTCAGGGCGGGCCGGCGGCGGGGCATTTAAACCCCTCTGGCTGCCAGCTCCGGACGCGTGCCCAGCTCTGCACCCTCCTTCGTCCGCCTCCTCTGCTTTGCCTCGGGTACCGGCTGGGCAAGATGAGGTCTTCCTTGGCTCCCGGCGTCTGGTTCTTCCGTGCCTTCTCCAGGGACAGCTGGTGAGTAGGACGGCAGCGGTGGGCGCGCTGCCCGGGAGCAGCTCCCCGCCCGCCCTAAGCGCGCGGGGCCAAAGCAGCCTCCTTCGCGAGACCCGACGGGAACGGCCGGGAGTCCCAGGGCGCTTCGGCAACTCTGGCAGGATCCGGCCGGTCTCCTTCAGCGGCGCCGGCCAGGGAGATGGATGGCACGCACTCCCTAGCTGACTCAAGTCCCCCTAGACCTCGCTTTCCCCGGGACGCTGTCCCTTTGCGTCCTCATCTACGCACAAGCTCAGGGGCAGACCTTCAGAGCGCCTCACTTTCGTATCACTGAGCACCGGGGGTGGGGGGCGGACTTGCAGGCTAGGAACGGAAGCCAGGGTGTGGTGGAGTTGCTGAAAAAGTGATCACTGGTCATTGGAGATGTTGAGTGTCCCTTTTGGTCCTTTTAGCCCTTGGATAACACCAAGACCAGAACCCAGTGGTCCTGGGAGCTTGCATTGAGGGATTCCCGGCCCTGAGAGAGACACCAGGGGAGGGCATACCTCTCAGACCAGAGCGGCAGCTGCTCCTCAGCCGGGTGGTCACCCCAACAGTTGGCCTGAGGCTTCCAGAATAGTTCTTCTGACCGAGGAGGCCTGAAGACGCCATGGACACGTTGGGGTGTGGGGTGCAGTGGAGAACGTTCAGCCCCATCAGAGGCAGTTTGCTTGGTCGGCACAGTGTTTTTTGTTTTGTTATTTGTTTTGTTTAATTTTATGTTAGTTGCCATCATTTACAAATTGTGAAACTTGACATGGATAGCCAGATTCCTGGCTTCTCTTGCAAAACAGACGATGTAGCAATATCAGGCCTAAATTCCCAAATTATATCAGTAGGAGTTGAGGAGTCCGCTTTAGCTGGGGTACGAGCTCTCAATATGACCACTTGTTCCAGTTTTAAAACAGAAGATCCTACATTCCCAGCTCCCTCAGTCCTGGGCAAATCAGAATGGTCACCAGAGGCACTTTCTAACTGGTGACAGCCCTCACTGGGGACAGTCCTCGTCACTTCCAGCCTTCCTCACTCACTTAAATTACTTATTTGGTCCTTTTTGAGTTTAGGTCTGATAAAAGATATTTTTCAGGAAAAGATAAGATCATGACTCTCACAATGATGTAAAGATGAACATGTGTTAAAAAGATTTTATTTCACTCATAAATGAGGGAGCCAGGAGATGTTATAATTGGCACTAAAGAAAATCCAGGGAGGGGAAAATGGAGAGTTACTCTTTAATGGGTGCAGAGTTTCAGTTTGGGAGGATGAAAAGTTTCTGGAGATGGATAGGCGGTGATGGCTGCACAACAATGCGAAGGCACTTAATGCCACGGAACTGTACACTTTAAAATGATTAAATCATAAATTTTATGTTACATACTGTTTTACCACAATTTTAAAAACAGAGAATACGAAGAACATGCCCATTTATAAGTCAGGAATATTGAGGCAAAACTGGTTGGAAGGAAAGACTATTGAAACTCTATTATTTCATAGATATATTTTGTATGACTTATCAGTTACTTACTCTTTCAAGCAATTCCAGGTCAGTGGAAGGTGAGATTCAGATAATTTGGAAGGGTGTCCTTTAGGCAATGCATAATTTTCCAGAGAAACATAACTTTTTTTTCTACAGTCTGCCCTTCTGTGATCAAAAATAGTCTCAAAGGAAGATTATTCTTGATCACAAAATAAGGGGTCAGGTAGGGAGGAAAAGGTATTTACAAATGTTTCATTTCAGTTTGCAGAGTCTCCTTCATTGTTATGGGTTACAGGTATCTTAAGAAGAAAGAGAAAGGGCTTCCTTGTGTATTCAGAAAATTGACTACTATAACATCAAGAGTATTCCAAACATAAATGACAACCGGTTCATTGCATCATATGTGAATAATTCTTATTCTGCTGAATCTTGGGTTAGCAACCTCATAAACCTGTCAGCTTCTTTACTGAAGAGTTTTGGAAATCCTGACTCAGTCCACTGATATGTTTTTAAAGATGTTGGAGTGCTGTCATCAGAAATCTGTACCCAGGGGTGAGCACCTGGCACAGGGCTTTTCTGAGACAGTTCTAAAAAAAGTGTGGATTAACTTATTACTGATAAGTTTCAAAAGCAAATGACCTGATGAGAATTCATGACAAGAATAATGCAGCTAACAAGGAAATTAGTTTTTCCCGAGGAATGTAAAAAAACAAAATAAAGCCAATCCCCCCCCCAAATTAGACAATGTCTAAAAACCCACTAAAGCTAATTTCAAAGAAGATGGTGAGCATTACGTCTGATTTATAAAAATGAATGAAGGTAATTTTCATAGTGGAAAAAATCTTGAGATATATAAAAACTCTGAGACATAATTTATGTAATATACCAAGGAGATACCAAGAATGTCAACTTAAGAGATTTAGTAAGTCTGGAGTAAGTCCTAAACATCATCTGTGGGAAAATCAGATATCCATCCTCAGTTGAAAACCACTGACCTGGAAGATGCTAAACTCAAACTGAAGAAGCAAGGTTGCAGCCCAAGTAACATTTAGAGTCATAACAGAAATCGTGACTGGTAACTGTACTGTGATCATCAGGCACAGCACTGCCAGGGTGCTGATCCACAGAAACAGATCATGGACCAAAAGGGCACTGAGGAATCTGTAGGAGTTTCTCATAGAGCAAACAATTTGAGATGCTTAAATAAATAATAACATTTTATTTCTCTGTTTTCCCTTAATAAACAAAACTGCATCTCATTACGATATGTACAAAATTGTACCTCTCTGCCACTCTTGTTCCTATTAGAGTCTCATTCATATATATTAATTATATCCTTTAACCAAAGTAACTTATATTTCAGAGAAAATGGGGGGCAGAGAGAGTGCATCACTATAGATAGCCTGTCCCACACCAGCATTTTAGAAGAGCTCAGGAACACACACAACTTTTTATAGCCACACACGTCATTTACACACTTCTTCAAATGTGAGTACAACTACTGTGTTTCCCAACATCTCCCAGGTTTAAGACGGATATGGATGGGGGTGGGGTATGGCTCAGTGGTAGAGCTGGTACTTAGCACACAAGGTCCCGGGTTCAATCCCTAGTACCTCCATTAAAAAAAAAAAAAGACAGCTATGGATTGAAATCCTTTCACCACTGTATGCCTTGTGTAGTTAACTTCTCTGAGCCTCAGTTTCTTCACTGGTGAAAGTCAGGTGGGTTCTTGAAGATAAACTCAATACGTAAACATTCTGGACCTCCCATGGCTGATGGAGGGCACTTGGTAAGTGTTCTTCCTCTTCTGTCCTGATGCATGTAGGTTTGGACTTCTAACGAACACTAAAGCCTCATTGTGGCTCCTGCTGGGAGCACATTATCATGTTGTACTCTGAGGCCTACAGAGATGATTAAAACGTGGTCCTACTTTCTTGGAACTAAGGAGCAAGCTGCAGAGAGGGTGTGTACTCTCATTATCAAAACTTGCTGCTTCCACACGTTCCAAGGAGGGCATTTCAGCAGAAGTGAAGAAAGCAGACCTTCCTGGATTAGGACACTGGAGGGTGGATTGGCCCTTTGGATTCCTCCCCTGTGCAGTGAGGATGCTGGTACCACCTGCCTCATTAGGCAGCTGTGAGGATTGAAGATTGTTGGGAGGTTGAGCACTCAGGTCAGTGCCAGGTTTGTATTAAGTACTGACTCAACATCAATTATTGACTGTTATTCTACTCGCTTTTCATTCCTACTGTGCCAGGCATTGTGTTTGTGGTTCACTGCCAGGTCATTGTTTGTTTCCCCACCAAATTCCCCATCGTATGGACATAATGAAGCAGAGAAGTTATGTAGCTTGTCCAGCAACACGTAACTAGTAAATGACTGAGCTGAATTTGAATCCAGGTGACTTGGACTCCCAAGTCCATGGTCCTTCCCACTGTCCCTCTGGTTAGAGGAGGAGGGGAAAGATCACATAGTCATCTGGCCTTAGCCATATCACTTAATCTCTCTAGGGTCCAGGTCCTTTAAAATGGGAGTAATAGTGTACCTCTGTCACAGGGTTTGGTGAAATTCTATGAGAAGGTATTTAAAGCACTTAGCCCAGTGCCTAGCGTGCAGTTAGTACTTGGTAATTGCTTGGTGCTTGTGAGTTTCAGTGGAGGGAGGGATTCACTTTTATTAGGAGGAAAAGTCAGCAATTGACATGGTGGATCTAGAGGTATTCTGAGCAGAAGCTGTGGAGAAAGCAAAGGCATGGAAGTGAGGACATATCCTGTCCCTTCAGGACTGGGTCATGTGTAGCTGTGCTGGCTGGGGTGCGGGGTCTGAAGGAGCAGCCGCTGGAGGTGAGGCTGAGAGGAGGCGGCCCCAGGTGTGCCTTCCTCCTCCTGTTAGACCCTCTGTCAGGATGGGGTGGGAAGCTTGCTCACAGCCTCTCAGGATCCTCCCCGGCCCTGGGCCTGGCCAACGCCCTGCCTCTGTGCCAGCGTGTGCGTTGGGATTTCTAGGGGTGGATGGCACCATGGGCATCTTGCCAGAGAGGTGACTGTGGCTGGCGCTTGTGGGGTTGGGCCCATTTCCTGGGGCCTGTCAAGGGGAACAGTTCAGGACTTGGAGAAAAGAGACCTGTGGGAGGAGGGCCAGGTGATGCAGCAGCTGGATGAGCAGGAATGGGAGGCGGGGGACATTGGGCAAGCACGAACACAGGAGCTGTCAACTCTTACATTACTTAGTCGTCTCCCACACCCTGATCGTCGCACATGAGCCGAAAAGACCAAGGCTGGCTGGTGGCGGCATCTGGGACGAATGGCTCGCCCTCCAGAGTTTGCTGGGGTCTCACTGCCAGAGCCCTCATATCTCATTTCATTCATCATTAGGGCAATCTCGGGGGATGAGAGTTTAGTATCTTATTTAAAGGGAGATCAAAGTGACGCCGAGGGGTGAAGTGTTATCTCAATTAATCCTTATGGCAGTCTCGTGTGACAGGAGTTTACTGCCTCATTTAAAA